ACAAAAACCCACGGGTACCCATGAACCCGCGGATACCAAACTGGTTGGGTTGGGTTTGAGTTATTCAAACCCAACGGGTTTTACCCCGGGTTTTTTTGGCGGATAAACCCATGGGTTTGGGTTTGGGTTTGGGTTTGACAAAACTTGCCCCAACCCGACCCATTGCTTGGAAGAGGAGTTAAGGCCAGTGATAACAATGCTATAACCCTATAAACTGGATCATGCTTACCAATTGGCTAGGCTGGAAGAGGCATCTAATGAGGCTAGGCGTAAGAAGATAAGGCAACATCCCCAACCAAGTAGGTCGTTCTCGAGTCAGACACTAGTGAGACAATATCATGCACCATATAATACAAGACTAGCCAACAAGTTGGTCTTAATCTCGTTAAACCAGAGTATGCAAAAGCTTAATAAAACAGATAACGTAAAATATAGATAAAAATGACAAAACCCAATGCAACCAAAATGATGCTTCAATTGAAATGCATTAGTAGATCGAATGAAGTTGTTTGCCGGTCTCACCCACCATTTGGGATAGGGGTTTGGAAATCCATGTGTCTCTCCGTCCAACCTTAGAATTCTCTTCGATTTGATTTCCTATGCTCCTACCTTCGTCATTTAGTTATCAGGACTTTAAAACTACATAGAAAATACCTCCAAAAGGCATCAAAACTCAAAAGCATACGAGTGCTCCTCCAGACTTTCAAACATGCAAAAGAACGAATAGCAAGGAAAAATGCATACTAAACATCTAAAGATGCATAGAGAGTAGACAAAATGTCACTAAGAATTAGAGCTGTCAAAATGTAACCCGACCCGAGTAACCCGCCCGATCAACCCGACCTGCAACCCGCTCGCAACCCGATTTGACTAAAAATTAATGATCCGCAACCCGCCCGACCCGCAACCCGACCAACCTGCAACCCGACCAACCCGCAACCAGATCGACCCGCAACTCGATTAACCTGCAACCTGACTAATCCGAGCCTGTAACCCGACCAACCCGCAGCCCGCCTATAATAGAAGGAATTCGATGAAGATAAACTATAAGTTGACATTGAAATCCTAGTTCACTAAAGTCTGATCATTACATCATCAATTATTAATTTAGTATAATAAATTAATAATATACATCATCAACCTATTAACGCATATAACATCATCAAATATTGATTTAGATACATCATCAACCTAATAGTGCACATAACATTATAAAATATTAATTTAGCATAATGAGATAATTATAAGATTTAAAATCCAAATATCATGGTCCTATCATAAAAAAGACTAATAATAGTTCACAAAAGTCTGATCATAACAAGAATACATGACTCATAATAGTTCATATTGTCTCAAGACCTCAAATATCAATAAAACCTGTCCAAAAAAACAAATTGACATTCCTAATGACGATCACTCTAGAAGCTTTACTTCTTCTACATCATCCCTCGTATCTTCATCATCGTCATCTGTACAATTAATCAGTGAAAATAAAATAATAAGAAAAAGAGAATAGTTTGTTTAATGATAATCAAGAGTACAATATTTAATAAATGAATTTGCATATTGTATATAAAAAAGTAATTGTTATAAGAACCGAACCGGATCAACGGCTGAGCCCGTAGAATCGTCAACTCATTTATAGCGGTCCGGTCAATTATTTGGACGGTTATTGATGGACCAAACGTTTTTCACGGTTCATCATAAAACCAGATGAACCACCACGGTTTAACTGGTCCACTGGTTCGCTATTCTAATCACAAAAATTTTTTAAAAAAACTTTAACATAGACTAAGACCATCAAACTATAATTAATAGTTTTATTTATGCTTTTTCTTCTCATTTTCAAACCTTGTTGTCGACTTTACATTATCCACTACTGACTGACATCGTAATTTTTAACTTGAACTAGAAAAATTATCATTTTTTTGTGAGATTGTTTAAATGATTTATTAGATGTTTTGGTGATGATATGCATTTGAAATTTTTTATGGTTTATGATAAATTCATCGTAAATTAGTGTAATATACAAGTTTTGTATGTTATATATCATGAACGGTTTTCCAACGGTATTCTAACGATGAACCACAGAACGCTAAACCATTAACATTTTTCGGTTCAAACTCCAGATTAATTATTATAGTAATTTAGATTTTAAAGTTTATCGTGATTAGTTATAGATGGGTGTTGACACACCTAAAATTAATTCGACCAGAATTAAATGCCGCATTAATTGGTCTCGGCATTTAATTCAAGCCCGCGGGTAAAAAACGGTGTCGTTGGGAGTCGAGCAGCGTCGCGGAGAACTAAAAACGGTACTGCAAGGTAGCTTAGCGGTACCGCGGTACTGGAAACGGCACCGCTTACCGAGAAACAAAAGGGGCCGCGTGTTTAGTGTGGGTATTGGAGAAGGAATTTTCTTAAATTAAATATTATTATTCTTATTTCTTGTTGGATTGAGAGAAGCGGCACCGGAGAGAGTTAAAACGGTGCCGCGGAGTTAAAAACGGTACCGCGAGTAAGCCCAACGGTACCGCTGTATTAGCAAACGACAGTGTTTAATATAAAACAATGTCGTGGAGTAAAAAGCAAACAGAGCTGTTTGGGGAAGAAAACGTCATCGCGTGAGATTCACACCAACCCGAGCGAGGAGGAGATCAAGACGGTTGAGACACGTGGGAGTTCACAACGGAGCGGTTGAGGAAGCAGTTCCACAGGGCGTGAAGACTACGCAAGTGATTTCAAATAAAAGCAGCGGAGCAAGGAGAGAGGGGGAACCAAAAAAATCAACACATAACGACTCTGTCAAAACTTTACCTTTTCTCTGTAACTCCTTCGCGGAGCTCTCCTTCCAGGAAGGATCTCCATAGTTGTAGTCTTAGTCGTAGTCGCGGAGCTCTCCACGGGAATCTCCATAGGAGTAGCGGTAGCGTAGATTCCTCAAAACTCAAACACCCTCGTTCGAACGTAGTTTGGAGAGGTGCGAACCGTAGTAACGGTCGTTCTTGGTTAGAAGTCAGAGGTGCATCGATCAAATCAACATCGCCCGGCGGTGGATATTTGACGGTCACGTTGATTTCACCATTTAGAGGTGCATCGATCAAATCAACGTCGCCGACATTCGGCGGCGGATATTTGACGGTCGTCTCAATTTCAGCAATCAGCGATGCATTCGATCAAACGGCACCGCAAGAGTTTCCACCGCGAAACATCAAATCAACATTGCCGGAAACGAATTCGGCACCGGCGGTGGCATTTGGTTTTTCCGAGGAAACAATGGGTGACAATTTGTTATGGTTAATTTTCTCATTAAGTCATTATTCTAGAGAAGGAATTGGGAACTCGAAAAACATACCTCAAAATTGGAACTCAACACGAATTGGGAGACTTTTTCCATCCAAAAAATTGGGCTCCACTTTAGTTATTAATTTGGATGGCTGCAATTTTCCCGCCTCCCAGTTTGGTTGCCGAAAATTTGGCTCCAACATCCAAAAAATTTGCCCCTTCTGAAAATTTTGACTTCACGATCCTATAATTTTGGCCCTATCGAAAATTTTGGCTTCATAAACTTGAAATTTTGGCGCTCTCTCAAGCAATTCTTTTTACAAACCAAATTGAAATGCAACAAAGCTTTACCTTCCCATCCAAACTTCACTAAAAAGTAAAGCGATGTGATGGTGTGAAAAACCCGCAACCCGAACCGCCCGACCCGCAACCCGATCGACCCGCACCCGATTGACCCGTAACCCAATTGGCCCGCAGCCCGATTGTCCCGTAACCCGATTGACCCGCAACCCGAGTGACCCACAACCCGACCAACCTGTAACCCGAATGAATCCAGCCCGAACCCGCTCGATTGACACCTCTACTAAGAATAGACAGGATAAACACTACAATTCAAGTGTCACCTATACTATGCAGTATGATGATCAAGGTAATACCCATAACATAAAGTTAGACCTTCTGGAGTCCTGTATTCTCTAAACTTGCTTCACTTACTTCAAAGCAACAACTTATGTATGAAATACGTTTTTACGAATAAACAACAAACAAGGTACGTTTGTATGCATAATTAAAAGTTGTCTCTTAGTCTTAGGCCGTCCTCGTTCAAAGTTTACTAAATTACCAAATAATGTGTTAGAATATGACTTGAATTTGATTTGGGTTTGTTTTGTATTTTAGGCCTATTCTGTTTGGGTTTGGGATTGAGCTTTGTTTGACCTTTTTCCTTGTATGTTTGGGAAAAGGTGTTTGGTTTTCTGTTTGGGATTAGGAGAAGAGTTCTATAAATACTCTTCATCACCCTAGTCTGTTGTAAAGGTCAGTCAGGTTAGTTTGTTTGGTTTGTCCGTTTGGAATTTGGTTTGTAACCTGTACTCTCCTCAAAATCAGTGAAATTTGTTCTCCTCTGCCCGTGGATTAGCTAGCACACATTGTGTTAGTGAACCACGTTAAATTTGTGTTCGTTCGTGCTGGTTTGGATTATCGATTGCACGCTTCTGTTCTGACAAGTGGTATCAGAGCCTTTGGTTGCGGTTTTGGAAATTTGGCGTTGGACTGAAGTTTTGCTTTGTGGAGGTAGCTTTCAATTCTTTAGCTTGGTTTGGTGGAGGAATCGCTTTGAAGTTGACTTTGGGTAGTTGTGTTTTGGTCTCGCTTTTTTGGTGAGTTCTTGGAGTTTGTTTGATAGTAAGAATGGTTGCTATCAGTATGAAGATTGAGAAGTTTACCGGAAGAAACAGTTTTAGTTTGTGGCAGATTAAGATGCAAGCACTGTTGAAACAACAGGGTTTGTGGGCTCCGTAGTCTGGAAAATCGAAGAAGGAAAGTATAGATGAAGAAGAGTGGATTACTTTGGAGGAGAAAGCTCACTCTACAATCGTGCTTTGTTTGGCTGATGACATCATCACTGAGGTTGCTGCTGAGAAGACTGCTGGCGGTTTGTGGTTGAAGCTTGAAAGTCTATACATGACAAAGTCTTTAACTAACAAGTTGCATATGAAGCAACGTTTGTTCAGTTTGCGTATGGAGGAAGGTACGTCTCTCAGGAATCATCTAGATCAACTCAATACCATCTTGCTAGATCTGCGGAATATTGATGTTAAAGTAGATGATGAGGATGCTGCCTTAATTCTGTTAGTATCTTTGCCACAGTCATATGAGAATTTTGTGGATTCTTTTATTGCTGGGAAAGATAGTTTGTCTTTGGAAGATGTTAGATCTGCTCTACATACTAGAGAGGTTCGACATAAGGCGTCTGGTTCTGGTTCGGAAAATCAGGCATCTGGGTTGGCTGCTACGAGTAGTAGGAGACAACAATCTGATAATAGGAAGAAGAATACAAATTCGAATTCTGCTGGTTTGAAAGATGATATCTGTCATTACTGCAAGGAGAAAGGACATTGGAAATTTGATTGTCCTAAATTGAAGAAATATCAAGAGAAGAATGAATCATCTGTTGCTGTGGCGGAAGAAACTAACTCTGATTCTGAAGATGGTTTAGCCTTAGCAGTGAATGAACAGGTACATCATCAGGATGTGTGCTATTTAGATACTGCAGCTGATTATCATATGTGTCCAAGCAGGGAGTGTTTTTCAACTTATGAGCAGATAGATGGAGGACATGTTTCTATGGCCAATGGTGCTATCTGTAAGATTGTTGGAAGAGGCTCTGTCAGGATGAGGACACATGATGGTTCTGTTCGCACCTTGAACAATGTTAGGCATATTCTAGAAATGACTAAGAATCTGATATCTTTGAGTCTACTCGACAGCAAGGGTTTCAGCTTCAAAGGTGAAGGTGGAGTGTTGTCTGTCTACAAGGGTTCTAAGGTGATTTTGAAAGGTGTCAAGCAGGGTGCCTTGTATAATCTACAAGGTTCTGTTTTGACATGTTCTGTTGGTGATAAGTGCAGCAAGTTGATTCTGAATGGCAAGTCTCAATATGGATTGGACTTGTCGAATGGTTTGAGTTGTTGACCGCCCTTAGGGGCATTTGGAGGCAGGGGAGATTCTGGTACAACTGATTTGGAGGAGTTGCGTACATCTGGCAACTTTGGTTGCATCTGGTACATCTGGCAACTTTGGTTGCGTATGGTACATTTGGTATTTGAGAGAGAATTCAAGTCAAGGTGGAGATTGTTAGAATATGACTTGAATTTGATTTGGGTTTGTTTTGTATTTTAGGCCTGTTCTGTTTGGGTTTGGGATTGAGCTTTGTTTGACCTTTTTCCTTGTATGTTTGGGAATAGGTGTTTGGTTTTCTGTTTGGGATTAGGAGAAGAGTTCTATAAATACTCTTCATCACCCTAATCTGTTGTAAAGGTCAGTCAGGTTAGTTTGTTTGGTTTGTCCGTTTGGAATTTGGTTTGTAACATGTACTCTCCTCAAAATCAGTGAAATTTTTTCTCCTCTGCCCGTGGATTAGCTAGCACACATTGTGTTACTGAACCACGTTAAATTTGTGTTCGTTCATGCTGGTTTGGATTATCGATTGCACGCTTCTGTTCTGACATAATGTAATCATATAATTAACAAAGTTTAATTTAAATTTCGGATCTATCCCCATTATAAAGTTATTACTCGCAATTTCTCGTCTTCCATATATTATTTGGATTATGCACTATTTCTTGTCAGCCGCAACTCTTTTCTGAAGTCTTACCATAATTGCTCCTATACCAAGTATATGTTGAATAAGTCCAAGCACAATTGCGCTCATAGACCATGTCATAAACCAGTTGGTCCCAATAACTCGAGTTGTTGGGAGAGGTTCAATCGTGGATCATATGCCACAACACTAACACGCCCCCTCAAACGAAAGCCACTCATAAGGGTTTGAAGTTTGCACAGGTCTGAAGACAAGAATACCATGTGCTTAACAAATGGGGGTCACCGGGAATCGAACACAAGACCTCTCGGTCACAGAAGGCTCTGATACCATGTCATAAACCAGTTGGTCCCAATAACTCGAGTTGTTGGGAGAGGTTCAATCGTGGATCATATACCACAACACTAACAGGATTATAATCGAAACGGGAATATAATCAAAACGTGACAAGAAGCGGATTTAACGTGGTTTCCTTGCTCGGTGTGAGCAAGACTAGTCCACGGCAGGAAACGGTGCTCGTATATTTCATGTGTCTTCAACATACAATATACACACTATTTATACTACAATAGCCGAAAACCCTAGGAGAAGAATAGAGTTTGGATTCGGCTACGTAGAAGCCCATCTACGTGCATGGGCTGAAACCTACTAGTCTCAACAGCCTCCCCCAAATTGATGAAGATTTCTCATCATCAATTTGCCTACAAGATACGAGTGTCAACTAGCACTAAACTCCTTGGTGAGCAGATCTGCAATCTGATCCTCTGAAGTAACATAAGACATATTGATCGTACCATTTCGAACAAGATCTCGAACATAGTGGAGGTGAATCTCAAAATGCTTCGTCCGATCATGAAGAACTAGATTAGTCGCAATCTGAATAGCACTGGTGTTGTCAACGAACAACTGCAAAGGAAGTGAGCACTAAACTACAAAATCTGCAAACAAAGCATGTAACCACTCTAGCTCAAACGTGACATTTGACATAGCTCGATACTCCGCCTCGGTAGCGATTTGGAGACCCTATCTTGCTTTTTACACCTCCATGAGACAAAGGAATCACCAAATCGAATACACCAAGCAGTTGTAGACCGTCTGGTATCGACACAGCCTGTGTAGTCCGCATCAGAAAATGCCTGAAGCTGAAGAGTGCCTTTCGACGGAAGGAAAAGGCCAACATCCGTCGTCCCCTTAAGATATCTAAGCAACTGATGAACCGCATCAAGGTGAGCCGTACGAAGAGCAGACATGATTTGCCTAACAATCTGGACAACATAGGCAATGTCCGAGCGAGTCGAGTTAAGATAAATCAATGAGCCCACAATACTGCGATACTGCTTCCCTCCATCAGGTAACAAATCTCATGTTTCCCTCCCCAGCTTCAAATTGATCTCCATCGGCGTGGAGACCGGTGTACAGTCACCAAAACGAGAGGAATCAAGCAAATCCAGTATATACCGTCGTTGATTAAGCATGATGCCACGTGGGAGGCGTGTAACCTCTATGCCAAAGAAGTACGAGAGCTCCCCCAACTCTTTTAAGTTAAACGAGCTACGTAGACCATGTGTAAGATGTTCAATACCGGCAGCATCATCACCTGTAACAATCATGTCATCAACATAAATAAGGAGGATAACCAGACCCTGAGAGGTACGACGAGTAAAGAGCGAAGGATCGTTGACACTCTGACAAAAACCAAGCTCCAAAACTGTACTATGAAACTTCTCAAACCATACCCTGGGCGCCTGTTTGAGACCATAGAGAGAGCGACGGAGTAAACACACATGATCGGGAGAGCCCAATGAATAACCTGGCGAACACTCCATGTAAACTGTTTCCTGTAAATCACCATGTAAAAAGGCATTCTTGACGTCCAACTGATAAAGAGGCCACCCACGAATAGATGCTACAGCCAGAAGGGAGCGAACAGTAACCATTTTAGCCACCGGAGCAAAAGTCTCAGTAAAGTCAACACCATACTCCTGGGTAAAGCCCTGAGCAACGACGCGAGCCTTGAAGCGCTCAAGCGCCCCATCCGGAAGAAACTTCAGATTATAAACCCAACGGCTACCCATGACTGGCACTTCGGGAGGAGGACGAGGAACCACATCCCAAGTGTGGTTGGCATGTAAAGCATCTGTCGTAGCCTTATCCCATAAGGGATTGCCCCGAGCCTGTGCATACCGAGTCGGAATAGGAATAGTATCAACACCAAAAGTGACAAAGTCATGTAACCGAGCCGGAGGTTGCCCAAAGGTAGAGCGAGTAGACCGACGAGGAGGAACCGGGGACGCGGCAGGAATGGCCGTGGGCGAGGACTCAGCGGAGGAGTCACTAGACATCGATGTTGTTGTTGCTGGCGAGGAGGGAGTCGGTGGATCGGGGGCAGCTCATCATCGGGAAGGATCATGTCATCATCATCAGAAAAAACTGGTGGACCGAGAGAAGTATCAAACAAAGGGGTAGACTTGGAGGAAGAAGACGAGTAGTACATAAGATTTTCAAAGAACACAACATTACAGGCGACACGGACACGCTGAAGAGAGGGATCAAAACAGATGTAACCCTTATGGATATCGCTATAACCAAGAAAGACACAACGAGAGGTTTTGGGCATTAACTTGGTACGCTCGGACCGAGAAAGAAGGACAAAACATACACAACCGAAGACACGAAGCCGGGAATAAGGAGGATGGTAGGAATAGAGCCGGAAAAAGGGACTAGACTGACCTAGAACAGAAGTAATCTTATAGTTAATGAGACGAACGGCGATGGAGACTGTTTCTGGCCGGAACGTGGAAGGGACATGAGAGGCAAGAAGAAGGGCTCGAGTGATCTCTACAACATGGCGATTTTTACGTTCTACTAAACATGAAGCATGTGCTGAGAGTTTGATTACTTTTTTGTTTTATGTACCTATTTTTCTTCTTCCCTCTCTACTTCCCTGTTAGCATAGAATAGATATCTCATTTGTAAATATTAATAAATATACAACACACATACACTCCATCTGGATCAGGTGGGAGTGGGACTAATTGATGCATCATGTTCCCAAGTTTATGTTACAAAAATTATTCGTCGGCGTCACTTTGTTCTTGGTCCCTGATCCACTTGGTCGCCACCCATTTCTCCCCTCTTGTTACAGGACAACTTCCATGAAGAGATGTCTGCCAAAAAATAGTCAACGTTTAAAAAAAACAAAGTCAACGGCTAGTTGCCTCTCTCTAACATCTCATACTCATAATTAGTCAACTCCTGCACCGTCGTTCGTTCTACACAATAATGAAAGCGGGTAATCATGTTTGAGATGCGGATATAAAGCAAATACTTACGGGGTCAATAGTGCCATTTGGGAACAGTGAGTAGAAAAGTAAGCCATCACCCTGCCTTGGTTTCACTTTCAACCCAATGCATTCTTTGAAATCATAATTTTCAGGGACGTTCATTCCATTCTGCAAAACCAGTTTTATCTCAATCACTGCCCGCGTCTGCAGTATGCACAGAATCAAACCAAAGAGAAAAGGCTGGAGAAAGAGATGTGTCGTTACCTCAAATGGGAACATTGTATCCCCTCCGACCTCAACATCAGATAGATACAATAAGAAAGAAGCCACCTGCATAGATAGTTGGCACAATTAATGCACACTTAAAAGTTAAAACCCCAATCTTTACAAAAAAAAAAAAGGACGTTTTGCATTAAGTACGAGCTCAAAATCAAAGTTTAGATTTCCATTAAAGCAACATACATACCCTTTGGCTCTTCTGTGGGCCGTATTCTGAAGGATTGAACGCATCATAGTGAGAATCGTACTTCTGGCCAATCTCGTAACGAAGAATATTGAATGCCTGCAAACATGATGGTTTAACCGGCAGATAAATTTCATTTTCCAAACAGCCCTTGAAATGGAAAATGCTGAATACTTAAACGGAAATTGTGAGGGTGACATTTGCATATGATAACTTGCCTATATCTACAAGTGGTTATGGATGCCTACCGCTTATAGACAATGCTGAAATAGAAGTTATTAAATAAGGATTCCATTAGGAAGGGTTTCACAGCTACTAGCTTTAACTGAGGTCTACCTCTCCATGGCTCTTTGGAATCATGGTTGCCCTGGCAATTTTTTCCTCAATCAAGTCTAAGACACCTGTGACATCTTCAGAAGCACTAAGAAACACGCCAGAGCTGTTTGAAAGAAGAAGAAAAAAAGCAGAGGATATAAGCTTAACATTGAGAAATTGCAGAAGATCAACAGAAGACAATCTGTCGAAGTAAGTTGCATGCAAGTAACCTGTGCAATATTTGATGCAGGCCCCTTAGAGGCTGGGGTGATTTAACTTGCATATAATGGTTAAACAAGGACCAACTTTTATTAATCTAAGCACTAGATGTACCGATTTCTCTTTCTTGTTGAGCTGTAGAGCTCTCCTGAACTACTGTCAAGATGCAAGATTGTGAAGTTGGTAGAATTAACCTTAACATCAGCCAGAGCAAGTGCAAGTACCTTGTTCTGACTCCCTTTGTAGTTTCATCTGTTTCTCCCTTTCGTAAGGCCAAAGTTGACGGCTTTAGGCGTGGCTTAGCTGAACTAATTATGCTTTCACATTGCTCCGCAGTTGCAAAATTAGGAAAATACAAAGCACGGGGTTTCCAGCTCAGGACCTGTATATGAACAAAGCATAAGAGTCTCGGCGAACAAAGGGGAAGAAAAGAAGATTTCTGGATATCATCAATGAATTTCCTATCTAAAATGCATACAAAAGAAAATAAAGAACAAACTTCCATCCCAACACTTTTGAGACTTGCACCTCTTAGACTGGGATCAAAACGACTCACTGAAATTTCTATTTCACAGGATGTGACATCTAAAATCACATGCTTCAAACAAATAACCGTTTTCTGTTCTGGTAGGATCTGAAATTTCCGTCTCACAACCACCATGGTCAAAGTGACATCAAGATGATTAAGCAAACCATGTCCAATCCCTCACGGTACTCATAAGGGGATTAGGAAACTGAGGAACCCTAAACCGAGAAATGAAAATCAGGAGACCGTCAAGCTCAACCAGAGCCTTTCGTCCAAGGTAATGCATGTCAATGCCTGTCTACACATCAATGATGCCAATTTTACAACCCCACTGATAAGGGTTCTTTTAAGGTAAGAAAGTAAACCAGAAGTATCTCTTAGGGCGAGAATTGACCACAAGTTATCTTTAACCTTTGCTTAGTTCAAACTGAACAAAAGAGTTTGCATATATATAGCCTTAGAAGGGAAGCCAATAGCCAATAACTTGGCCCTTACACCAATTAATTCGAACACCCGAAATTAATAGATGAAACCATCCGCAGCAACTAAACCTAAACCAACAAGGAAACTAACTAAGCAAATAAACCTAAATCTAAACAGGAACCGTCTAACAATAGAAGTGGACGAATGCCATGAGCAGAAATCCCACAGTTTTACATCTCCTAGCGAGCAAAGACCAGAATCACAGAACGAAGCAGGGAGAAAGATAAAATGGATGGAAAGAAGTACCTGGAAGGGGATAAGCGTGATGGAATCGTCCCCGGTCTGCCCCTGAGGCAGCAAATTGTACTCGAATTTCGCCGTCTCCACAAACGAAGACTGCAGCTTCCGCGACTTGGACCTCAGCCCGGGCTCCTCCTGCAAAACACGATACGGCCGATTAATCGGAGAGTCGACGATTCATCGGGCAGAAGATCCAGTAGAAGACCAACCGAATCAAGCAATTGACCGTACAGATCACTTACCTGAGAGACTAGATTGGAAGCAAAAAGGCCGGCGAGGAAGAAGAACAAACAGCAGAGGAAGACGGCAGGTAACCCTAACTTCCCTCTCAACCTCACGATGAAGTGGCCCCTTCCGGGTTTGACCGTCTTCATTCTCTCAGCTGCCGATGATCGGATGGAAGAGAAAAGTAGAGAAACGAGAAGTGATCGATACCTCTGCCGGTTCCCTCTCGCTCTCCGCCAGACGGGAAACGGTAATGGCGACCGAGTGTTTGTGGTTAGTGGGAAGGTCAGGGGAAAAGGAAGGGAGGAAGGAGGGGGATTGAGGACTCTGAAGACTGACTGAATCAGCGCGGGAACATGGGTTTGGCTTTGCTCTGGTGGACAAAAGCTAAATGGCAGAAAGTTGGTGTTTTTTTTTTTTCAGTCTCTGAATTTTCCTTTCTTGTTTTGCAGGGATTTTTATTTTATCGTTGTGGGTCGTTGACTACTAAATACGGACTTTTGGGTGGAAATTTGCAGCCGTGTGTCCGCCCACTATGACTCATGAATTAATTCATTTCATATTAAAATTAATCAAAATATATATTGTCAAGCAAAGATAGGCAATGAGTTGAGTTGGATTGGATTGGGTCGGATCGGATCGGGTTTCATCAACTTCAATCTAATCAAGATCCATTCACAAAAAAAATAAAAAACATTAAAAGAAAATTCAATCTAAAAGAGCGCACTCGCGGGTGCATGGATACATATGGATTAAAGAAAATAAACGCGCATACATACTTTTAACTCACATTCTTATACTAAAAAAATCTTCCAAAGATTGCTTCAAAGATTAATAACATCAATAATTATCCATAATATCATACTATTAGAACTACATTATCATAAAGTTAACAATATCTATAAACTATTCATATTATCAGGTCAGATACAAACCGACGTTGTTTATCTTTCCATGAGCGGTTCGAGTGGAAAGTGAAATGAGTTTTGGCTAACTTGCATCAACCCAACCCTCTAGTTTCAAACTGGATTTATCTGCACCCGACCCCGTCAACATCAGGTTTTACCCGCTTTGACTTGATTAGACTTTATTGGGTACTCGCGGGTGCGGGTTCAATTGGCATTTTTATGTATAACCATAATTTTGACATTTATAAAAGAATATAATTTTTTTAGAATAACAACTATATAGTAATCTTCATTAGAAAGATTAGGTTGAGTCCAATGGAGTCTCTATAAATGGGGCATTCTCTATAAATGGGGAGAAGTTGGCTCTAATGGAGTCTCTAGAAATGAGAGAGTCTCTATATTTGGGGACAATCGGCAAATGGATTCCCAAAATTGGAGATGGAGATGAGCATTCCCCCAAAAATGGGGAGGGGTATGTTGGACAACCGTCAGCAAGCCACGTGGTTTTTTTTAAAAGATTTTAGAGGTTAATTAGGATTTAATTAGGGGATTTATTAGATCAATAATTTTCAAGTGTTGTCTGTAAAGAAAAATTAAGCCAAACATTTTTTGCCAAAAACTTTTGGTCCCGAAATAAAAAAAAATTCTATTCGAAAAATATGTATTTAAAATTGATGACGAACTATACAAAAATTAACATGAACAAATTTGATTAAGATGATGATAAGTACATTTTTAAGTAAATGAAAAACTAGAAAAAAGGAAGATCACCAAATTTAGAGAATATAATATTGGAGCAAAAGAGGAGAAAATGAGGATGATCCCCAAATTTGGGGACTAGCATTGCACTTGGCCTTAACGACGTCAAATATCTCATTCATGTCATTAATGACAGTATGAGGTGTACATGAACCTATGCACACTAGGTCCCACATCAACTTCAAACATGTCATACTACTTGTTTACTACGCCACAATAACTAATAAAATAATCAAATATAATGATTTTGAAAAACAATTCTTGCAAAAAATAAGTCCGAGAAGGAATAAAGTATTCGGATCAAAATAGTAACATCTCAACCCTTTTATGACCAAGATACTGTCCGCTTTGTGTCTACCCCTCATAGTTTGATTTTGGGATGCATCTTGCTAGCTTCCCTGGAAGTTATCTATCTTTGGACTGCTCCATAATGAGCATGTTTAACTTCAGAAATCTTACAATAACTCTTTAATCTCATCCCATAATACGTCTTGTCAGTCAAGGTTGGATTGTTCCTTATTAATCATGGATCTCTCTTGTGTTTTGTCGATGTAAGATATGCCTAAGGTGTTGCAACTCCCCCTCCCCCATTTGGGACTAAACGCCTTCGTTGAGATTTGCCTCATAATCATTCAAGAGGGACTCGGAGAGGTTTTGATACCACTAATAACATCTCAACCCTTTTTTAACCAAGATATTGTTTAGTTTGGACCTACCCTTCCACAGTTTTGCCTTTGGGGTGCATCATGTGACTGGGAGGTCGCCCATTTACGCACTACCTTGTACTGAGTACGTTTAACTTTAGAGTTCTTACAAAACTCATTCATTTCACCCCAAAATGCTTCTTTTTAGTTAAGGTTGGATTGTTACTTAAGAATATCTTATCATACTTAGTCGATATTAGATTTGCCCAAGTGTTACAAACACCATTTACCTTTTATAAAAAATAATTTTTTGAAAACATTAAAAAAACAAATTAACTTTATATTAGTTTATTTTACATTTTTTCTATTTCCAACATAAATTTTTCTTTTCTGAGGGCGATCTACGACTCCTCTGCTCCACTTCAGTCAAATTTTATGGGAATAATTTTCCCGTATGGTAATTCCAATTTAGGAATTTAGTAGTTAGTAAGAGGCTTCTGTCCGTGTTGGCAGGTGATACTAAACAACCTTCTACTAATCCTGAAGTTATAGATTTTGAAGATTGGGACAGCTCCTATGCTCAGTTCGTGAAGCGGTTAATGGATTATGTTGATATCTTGAAGACACTCAGTCTTAGTCTTTTCACAACGGCTAACGAATTGTGGCATCATAAATGTAGTACTTACTCTCAGAACAATGCATCTTGACATTGATTCAGGGATCTCATGTATACACAAGGGGTTCACGATGTTCCTAGTTACTATTAGGATTTTCTCCATATCCATCCGGAGTATAATTTTATTGATGGCTTCTGACTCGCTAAAATCAACACAACCAAACTACGACCAAATGCAATCGTAGTCTAGCAATGCAGTATAGTGGTTCAGGTTCTATTTGTCAACCCGAGTCCTAGGTTTATTGACTACTCCGTGCAAATCTATTATCTAGCGGTTGAGTTCGAGTGAAGTGTTCAAAAGTAAAGAAAACAGAAAGCAGGAAAAGTTCTGGTTTCAAGTATGCAAAAAGGTCATCCAGATATGTGTCCCCTAAGTCTGCTATTAGTTCAGATTATAATTTCCCAATTCGTTTCAATTGACAGATATATAGCGGAAAGTTTTTGACAAGTCTGGAGTCTCGACTAAAGAATTCCAGACCCTCTCAGTTCGAATACCCGGCGGGCGACTAACCTCCACCAGAGTAAGCTAACCGAGACACTAACACACCAAACTTTCACTACTGGTTTTCAATTCCAGTACAGAGCAGTGAATCGATTCCTCTACTAAAGTAATCAATCCACTACTTCCAATTAAGGTTTCTCTATTAACATATGCAGAGACTATTGTTTCTAGGTTAAAGCAGGAATCACAAGGATTTGATCAGTACTCATGCAATTCTGAATAATGCCTCAATTGAATATATCAAGTCAATCATCTACAAAACCGGGTTCATACAACGATTCCTAACATACACGACTAGGGTCTTCATACCCAGATTAAAAGAGATTTTACTCCATGGAGAGAAGAGAAATCACAAGGCTTGAAGAATAAAATATCATGTGAGGGATGAGATTCTGCTCCAAGCTAGAAATCGGCACTTCGAGGGTGAAAGATCGAGCTCCAATGACTTTAGATCGCAACAATCTCTTCCCAAGGATGTTCTTCGTCACTTTCTCTTTCTAGAGCTCTCCCTTGCTATTTAGAACTGGAAAAACTGGATAAGTGGCCAAAAAACCCGAAAGTCTCTTTTAGCCACCTCAGCTCAGATTCCTCGGGCGGGTATTTCACCTCTAACCTCGGGGATATCCAAAGCACATTGCATCACTTTAAACTGCTCGCTCGAATTACTCGGTCTGGTCAGGGAAATACCCGACTGGGGATTTTCCTCAGCACCCCAGGGATGCCTCCTGTTTCTATCCCCGGGTTCAACTTCAGGATACCCTGTCGGGTAATCACGACCCCAGGGCGGGTAATCTGCCTGGTGATGTATACTTTCGCCCGTAACTCCAGCTTTCCCCGAAATCCACTCCTAAGCCTCTAACTACGTACTAGGACATGAAATACCACACATAAACACAACCTAGTGTAAAATAGTCCAAGGAGCACACAAAACCAAGCTAAAACGATCAAGGATTTAGGGGGGGAATTATGTGCAAATTCGGTGTTATCAGCTTCCCTTCTTTCTTGTGCAGTGTCTACAGTAGTGCTCCAAGATAATAGAGACATCTCAAGATCCAGGTATAATTGTTGCTAGTCACTCAAGTACCTCTCAATAACCTCAGTGTAATCGCCGGAACAATGGTAATCTTGTCTGTCATTTTTGTCCTAGGGCTTGGCATATTCTGATTCACTTCACGAAGAGGAATTTTTTTGTAATTAATGCATGAAAACATGTCACATTGTCTTGGCTAAATGCAGCAAGTTGCACCCTGATTCAGTCGGTAGTTCATCCATCTACAACTCGGCCTTTGCTATTGTTAATCCAGCTTGCTACTCCAGTTGATGCCCCAACAACTCCCACTAGAGGCACTCCGACCCCACTCTTCTGTTCCGATATCATGAAGCGGATGGTTCGGGAGGCACTTCAAGAAGCCCTTCCCCAAGTAGGGGTGAAAGTTTCTCCTGGAAGATCCACTGATCCGTCCTGACCCGTCCCGTCTCTAACGGTCGGGACGGGTCAGTTTGTCTACAGGGACAGATTAGGGACGGGTCATTTGTTAATCCTGTAAGAGTCGGGAAGGGTCGGGACAACTTAGGGACGGTTCACGTATTGACCCTGTGACCCTTAGCAACAACAAATATCTCATACTTCATTGGACCTTTTTGTAAAGTTTTAAAAGTTTAGGTACTAATTTGTAAAAATAAAAAATTTGGGTACCAAACGTAATTTTACCATCAAAATTTATGGACTTATTTGTAAAAAAATAATATTGAGGTACGAAATTGTAAGAAAAAATAATTTTGGGTACCAAAACGTAATTTGTAAAAAAGTAGTGTGTTTGATTAGGGTCGACCCACTGACCTGGCCCGTCCCGTCCCGTCCCAACCCTTGAGGGTCAGAAAGCGTCAAGAAGGAGACAGGGACGGAACGGGACGATTATACTGTCAGCAAAGGTTTAAATAAAGTAGCCGTTACTTAGAGGCGCTGCTGAGTCATTTTGGCTAAGTTCAGTTTGGTCCCTTAGTTTGTGTCTTGAGTCAAATAAGTCCAGTCGAGTTGTTAGAGGATCTGTTTACTTTA